CCCCAAAACCCCAAAACCCCAAAACCCCAAAACCCCGAAAGTGATATTAGTATGCCATTAGATAAAGGATAAGTAATTAAAATATATTAAACATTATTAAATACATTTGGCGCTATGATAATATAGATATCTCTGATCCTCTTGGCTCTATACTTTATTTACGATAGAATTTATCTTGTTTACTATAACTATTGGTACTACAAAAAATAAGGATTTAAGCCAACTGGACTACCTTTGCCATTTTTAGGAGATATCCTAACTTTCCTTAAAGTTCTTAAGACGCAAGATGAATTTTGGGAGGATGCTCACTATGAGTATTTGAGACACGTATTTAATGATGATATTCCTCAATATTCTATTGATTTCAGATATCCAAGAGGAATGCTTGTAATTACTGATCCTGACTTTGTATTTGAATCCTACTCTACAAAGAATAAATACTTTGAAAAGTTTCCCAGATCCCGAGCTATGAGTAAAAAGATTTTGGGAGAATCCGTCTTATTTGCTCCAGCAGATGAATTATAGGCGCTCAAAAGAAAGCATCTGTCTTCAGCATTTTACAAGGATAAAATGCAATCATTGTTAAATTCTATCATTAGCACAACCTTTGATACGGTTCAAGAAACTATTTCACAGATTAATAAGGGAGTAGATGAGCTTGACTTGAATCAATATATAGGAAAACTTATTCTTGAGTCCATTTAGATTTGCATCTTTGGAGTTAATGAGAAACTTGAGCTGCTCCCATTCAAGTAAAAGGGAAAAATTGATCAACTGAGTTAAGGGGTTTTCATGAATAGGCTTTCAGCTGGATTATTAGAGAGATCTAATAACATCTTCAGGATTAACTTTGAATTCCTTGACAACCATTTTGTTGGGAAAGCTGAGAAAGAATTGGAAGAGAATACCAAAACTTTGAGAAGATTCATATTAAATATGATAAATTTGAGAAGAGAAAAAAATAAGGCTCTCAAGCCTGAAGAAATTCCCCACGATTTTTTAAACATGCTATTACAAGATGATCTTTTTAAGGATAATGAAAGCTTAATGATCGATGAATGCTGTACATTCATGTTAGCAGCAACTTAAACTACTACAACTACACTTTCAAACCTTTTCTTCTACCTTACAAAATACGATTCAATTAGAACTAAACTCAGAAATGAGATCAAAGATATTTTTGGATAGTAGAAAATGATTAGTTAGATATCAAAAGAAGAATGGCTATAAAAGCTAAGTCTAGATGAAATTTAAAGCTAATGGAAATATATATTCATGATTGCCTAGGAAAATTTAAGAATTGAACCTCCCCTTAGAAAAAGCACACCTTAGATTGTAACCCAGGATATTGAGATTCTTGGTAAGAAAATACTAAAAGGAATGCCAATAATATTTCACTTCTTAGGGTTGTAGAGAAATCCTAATGAATGGCCTGAGCCCATGTAATTTATTCCTGAAAGGTTTGATCCATCGTCAAAGCATTTCTTGACTGCAGAGGGCAAAAAGAGAAAGTCTGGTAGTTTCACCCCATTTCTCGGAGGTAGAAGAATATGTCTAGGTAAGACATTTGCCGAAAATATTATCAAGTGTGTTACTCCAGTCATTACTTCCAGACTTGATTTTGAGGTTCTTAAACCTGAATACAGAGAGAGAAAGCCTCCTAATGGTCTATTTGCTGAGCCAGTCTACCTAATGAAAGTCAAATTATATGACCAATGAAACAAACAGCAAACAAGATTAAACATTATAATTTGAGCTGCTTTTGCTCTTTTTATATTTCAGATTTAAAATTCATCTATATTTTTGCTATGTATCAATTGAGGGGTTTTGGGGTTTTGGGG